CACTAAAGCTACCCAGCACATGTACACTACCTAATAATCTATTTCAAAAACTTAATTCTAGTTTTATAATCTTAACAAAGTTCATCCTGACAAAAATCAGAGCAACAGGGGCTGGAGAGATGGCTCAGCAGTTAAGAGTACTGGCTGCTCTTGCAGAGGACCAAGGTTCAGTTCCCAGCACCCACATGACAGCTGATAATTGTTCATAACTCCAGTTCCAGGGGATATGACGCCCCCTTCTTACCTCTTTGGTCATTGCATGCACAGGTGCACTTTCATGCATGCAGGCGAAACTGTCAGACACACAAAATAAATATTAAAAATTTTTTAAATCATAGCAACAAGAAACCATTATATTTTTCAAGTACATACCACATTGAAGGTCTTCAAAAATATTATTGCATTTAATGTTTAGCTCAAGTCTTTAATGTAAATATTACCTTATTGATGCTATTTTGAAGATGAGGAAACTGAGTCACAGAAATTGCTTTGTTCCCTAGTGGGAGCCAGGATTCACATCCAGGGGGATAGGACTGTGGCACCCACACTGCCTCTATTCATCTTTAGTAGCCCTATGCACCCACTTGTTCCTTTTGTGGTCAGATAAGCACTGGCATTGAAACCAGTGGTTTAAGCTCTTATTTGTATGCATTATTATCTAGTTTTTCAATTGCTTATGTCTTATAGTCACATAATTGTGTCTCCACTTATGTCTAGTACATAGTGGAGTCTCAATACATACCACACAGACACTCAAACTTTAGAGAAGGGAGTCTATTTTTAGAGTATCTTTTCTCTGTTAGAAAATCATTCTTACTGTAATAGCCTTAATATCTACAAACCAGTTAAAATTATAGGATGGAAAAACAGAGCGCTGTCCGTTACCTTCTTCTTATGCTGAGAGAAGCCAAGGTTAACTGACTAATATAAGGTAGCAAAGGTATTTACTTGCAGATTCATGGTCTTCAATTCTGGTGCCCTCAGTTGGTCCCCCTTTCACATTATTTTATATATGTAAAAAGTTTCTAATAGGAGCTAGAGAGGTGGCTCAGTGGTTAACAGCTTTGACAAGGGACCCGGTTCTAGCCTCAGCACCCGCATCAAGCAGCTCACAATTACCTGTAACTCCAGCTCACACTATGCAGGAGATGAATCAGTTCCAAGGGAGCTGACACCTCTGACCCCCATGGGCACTGGGCCTCATGTACACATACCCATACACAGTCACACATATAATTAAAAACAAATAAGTATCCGAGCATGCTGGCACATACCTTTAATCCCAGCACTTGGGAGACAGAGGCGGGTGGATCTCTGTGAGTTCAAGGCCAGCCTGGTCTACATAGCAAGTTCCAGCCAGGCCAGTTACAGAGTTCTGAGACTATTAGCTCCAAATAATAATAATAGTCTTTAAAAAATATTATTTTTATTTTATGTGTATGAGTGTATTACCTGCATATGTGTAAGTGCACCTGTGTTGTGTGGTGCCTATGGAGGTCAGAAGAGGGAATTGGATTCCCCTGGAACTGGAGTTTCAGATAGTTGTTAGCTGCCATGTGGGTACTGAGAATCTAGTCTGGGTCTTCTGCAAGAACAACCAGTGTTCTTAACCTCTGAGCCATCTCTGCAGCCCCAGATCCTTTTTAATTGTGAAGACTGCCAGGGTATATCACATGGGGTTATACTCAACATGACTGGCAGTAAATAAATGCATCTGTTTTCCCCACAAAACCTCAACTCTTTGTTTAGAAAGATCACTGGGAAATTTGACTAAAACTAGGATAATGCCAAGGATGTTGAGAAACTCAATGCTATGGCCCAAGAGAACGGAGAAGGGGTGCACGACACGGTGCACTTACCTGCATGCAGGCAATACACACGTACACATAAAACAAAAATAATAAAGTTTTTAGAAAAGGATCTGCATTGTGGTTTGCTCATATACCTCTGTAGGAATAAAATTACATATCTAGGAACTCATGTACAAGGAAACAAAGATCAATTTATACACAGATGAGCTTATATTATTACCTAGAAATGGCCCAATGTCTGTAGGATAATAAATAGTTGTAAACAACATATAGAGCAGATGGCAATGATGAAAATTTTGTACAAAATAAAATACAAAATAGTCTACTCATTACAGCATACAAGCTTGTGAAGGAATAGGGCTATAAATTGCTGACTTTTTTTTTTTTTTGGTAAACTTTTGTCTTCAGGGTGTTTCTGCTTCCGTGGCCTTATTGATTAAATCTATAGGGGTGATTACAAGAAGTGGGTATAGCCAGGTAAGAGGAAGTTGGAGGAATCAGGTGAGAGAGAGAGAGAGAGAGAGAGAGAGAGAGAGAGAGAGCTAGAGTCTTGTGCATCATCACATTCCAGAGTTTGGTCTTTAACTGGGGAGAAGTGGTCCGTGTGTCGTCTCACGAGCTCTAAAGCCAAGCACATACCGAGTGCAAAGCTCTTTGAATGCTATTATGGACCAAGCACTGTGCTAAATGCTTTGCTTTGTTTTAGACTCACAACAGTCTTTAAAATGGTTCTCATCATATCATTTCTGCCAAAAATCCTTTAGATAACAAGTATTAGAGGTAGCAGAGAGGCAGCCCAAGGTTGGATGCCGATTGCCATGTTCCTAGCCACCACCCAGAGCCATTGCTTGATGTCTTTTCTAGTCCCCTGCCCCCAGCATTGAATAACCAAGTCCATGGAAAAGTCCAGAACAGTGAGAGAATTCTTTCTCAATAAATAAAAACCACTGATTCATTCCATGCATAGTGTGATTGATGTACTTGTCAGTTCACTTTGAAAGACTATTATCCACTTAAATCCACCATTTTATTCATAAGAATATTGTGGCTATTAAAATGTTTTGCAACTTTGAAAAATAAGGTGCTGGTAACATTCTCTCTACTGTTAACTTTGCATTTCTCACCGATTTTTTTCTTTTTTTTTTTTTTTTTGGTCTTTTTGAGACAGGGTCTCCCTATAGCCCCAGCTGTCCTGGAACTCACTATGTAGACCAGGCTGGCCTTGACCTCACAGAGATCCACCAGCCTCTGCCTCCCAAGCGCTGGGATTAAAGGTGTGCGCCACTACACCCGGCTTATTTTCCTTCTTAAGAAGCCTCTTTTTAAGCCAGGCATGGTGGTCCAAGCCTTTAATCCTAGCGCTAGGGAGGTAGAGGCAGGAGGATCTCTATGAGATCAAGGCCAGCAGGGTCTATATATTGAGTTACAGCTAGTGTGACAACGTTTTTGAGGTTTCAACTTCAAAGGAGAAAGGGTTTATTTGGGGGTCATGTGTTCTGCGCCTGTGGTGGCACAAAGAATGTCATGGCAGAAATGTGTAGCAAAGGAAAGCTACTCACCTATGTGGCCAGAGAACAAAGTATTATAAAGGAAAGGTTGGTGTCCCAATATCTCCTTCAAGAGCATACTCCCAAGAACATAAATTCTTTCCACATGGCCCCATATCAGGAGTTCCTCCACCTCCCAGGAGTAGCCACAGGCTGAAGACTGCACCTGTGACACATGGGTGGCACTCCAGGTCCATAGCAGTTCCACCAACTGCCAAATGAAGATCATGCTTAGCACATACATATGGCACACAGTAACTGTGCAATAAACAACAGTAATGGAGGTCTATGCTGGTATTGATGTTTACAATGATGAGGAGATCGGTGCTGGTGGCCGCACACAGAGCTGTCACTTCTGGGAACAAAGACCATGCTTAACTCCCCTTTGTATCCTCAGCATCTACACTAAAACCTGACGTTTGTTAAATTGATGATCCACTATCAAGTCCAAGATACTTAAGAGTAAAGCAAAATGAGGGAGAAAGGATTCACATGAACTAGAATGATCAGGAAAGACTTTATTGAACAGAGGTATGCAAAGGGTGGATTTCTTTTCCCCATATAACAGGACAGAAATTATTGAAGACAAATTCATTACACCAGTGTACCTAGTCTATGGCACAAGAGAGGAGGAATAAACATCTTTGTCTGGCAGGAAAGAAGCAGTTTCGGTGTATCATAGATAGCTTTGTGTTACTGTTCAGTATCGTGCCTAGAAATGAATGCCAAAGGCAGAGAACTAAACCTTGATTCTTTTGTTACATGTTACAGCAGAGTAATGCAGTGAAATATTTCATGTAGACAAACTGCATGGTGTAATGGAAGAGATATGAGCTTACAGGGAAGCAAATTGAGGTTTGAACTTTTGTTCAACTGTATATACTATCTTCAATAAGTCAATCATTACCTCTTTGAGCTTTGGTCTTATCCTCTGTAAAATGAGACCATCCCTGCCTCTCCCACGGACTAAGGGAAGATGAAATGTCTCATGGGAGGCATGCATTGCCTTGCCTGGTATCTAGCAGATACTCAGTGAATGGAAGATGCTGGTGTTTTCAGGAGTGTAAATAGTCCATTCATGTGCCTGTGCCCCATCAACATGTACATTTGGTTGCTTATGTTTTAGGCAGATAAACTTAAGTTTACTTGATCTGAGAGTTACTGAGCTTTTAGAAATGGAAATAATCCAGAAAAGGGCAATGTGTAACACAATACCACTTGACTGTCTCTTCCAAATGAATAAATGCAGGAAGTTTTTAATCTGAGTGCTTGATTAGGTGGAATTCTCAAATGGGAAACAGGAAACTGACACTCCTCTTTATTTAACCACCTGCTGTAAAACTGTCATGCAAATATTTGAGAACCCCTGTGATTTGGATTTTTGTTTTGTTCTGTTTTTTGGCTTGGATTTTCTTTTCTGTAGTGGATATATAAATGAATTAACCTCAAATGTGTTGTTTTCTAAATCAGCCAAATATTTCCTTTAAATACCTGAGCTCTATGTTGAACCCAGAGTGATGTCAAAGCACATGATTTTAGTAATAGATTCCCCCCTTAATCCTTTAGTGAGCCTTAGTTCCACATGTATTCTGTCCCTATAATATACAAGCCCATAATAAATGAACCTTTTCATCCCATGCAGGTTCTTCCAGGGGACCCAGTCCTCTAACCATGGGGGCTCAGGACACCCTTCCTGTGGCGGCAGCATTCACAGAAACAGTCAACGCCTACTTCAAAGGAGCAGATCCGAGCAAGTAAGCCTGGAATGTGGCCCACTGTCTTCTTGAAGCCCTGTCCTATTTGTGGGTAACACCCTAAGTATGACTTATCTTTCAAGAAAGAGTTCTGTGGATGGGATCTCTCATGTCTATCCCCTGAAATTATATTGCATATCTTTTTTTAATGTTTTTAAATTTATTTTATGTGTTGAGTGTTTTGCCTACATATATGTAAGGGCACCCAAACCCAATGTCGTGCAGTGCCCATGGAGGCCAGAAGAGGGCATTGGATCCCCTGGAGCTGGAGTTAAGGATGGTAGTTAGCCCACATGTGGGTGCTGGGAACTAAACACAGATCCTCTGGAGAAGCAGTAGATACTCTGAACTGCTGAGCCATCCCTCTGGCCATATACTCCTTATCCTATGTGAGCATTTCTCCACAGAGATGAACGGGGTTCAACACTCTGCAACAAAGAGACCGGTAGCCCAGAACTTGCTTGTAGAAACTATTGCACTGAAGACCAAATAACTACACCAGGATAGCTTCCAAATGAGTCGTCCGTTTAATTCTAGGCCTGACTTCGATTAATAAACAAAAGGAGACCTAAGTGAAGGAAGATCTGCTCTTAGTTCTTCACTCATAGGAACTGGGGCTTGGAAAAACTTACTATGACAAGAGGATGAGAGGAGACGTGTACATAAGACTGCACTGTAAATTTTGTTCAACAGTGATCATTTAGTATGATTAGAACTTAGAGCAGCACATTTTAAGAGGAAATGTGCATGAATAAGTATGATTCCAAAACTTAGTTCTACCAATAGTAAACCAATCTAATTAACAGCTCCACCTTTGAGCATCCCGCCAGTGGCTGGAATCTTTCACTCCCCCCTGGGTATCATGGCACTTTCAGCAACAGCCAGGTTTTGTTCAAGGCCCCAAATAATATTAAAAAACAAACACTAAGCCGGGCGTGGTGGCGCACGCCTTTAATCCCAGCACTTGGGAGGCAGAGGCAGGCGGATCTCTGTGAGTTCAAGGCCAGCCTGGTCTACATAGTGACTCCAGGACAGCTGAGGCTACAGGGAGACCCTGTCTCAAAAAGACCAAAAAAAAAAAAAAAACACCAGGACTGATGCTGTAGCTCACTCACTGGTAGAAGAGCACATGCCTAGCATGTGTCAAACCCTGGGGTTGGGGCAGGCACTCATGCAGAGCATATAAACACCATCATCTTCGGCTGCATGCAAACTTATTACATACATGTTGATTCTGTAGACTCTGCTTTGAACAAATAATTTGCGGAGATTTCTGTTGTACCAGTTCTAAGAACTACTTATTACTTACTGACCAATAGCTTGGGAAATTAAGGCTGGCAGAAATTAAGAAAAACTGGGAGCTGGAGAGATGGCTCAGTGGTTACAATCACTGGCTGCACTTGCAGAGGACATGGGTTCGGTTTCCAGCACCCACATGGTGACTAACAACCATAATTCCAGTTCTGGGGATCCAATGCCCTCTTCTGACTTCTGAGGGTATTGTATAACATGGGTGCCCTTACATACTTTCAATACATTCAGGTGAAACACTCATACACGTAAAATAAAAAATAAAATATATTTTTTTAAAAACATGCTAATTAAAAAAATAGGGAATGTGGTGAGAGTGAACACTGGTGTGAAAGCCCCTGGGAATCTCAAAAGAGCGGCTCCCCCTTCTGTTGGCTCCCTAGCTGGCTTTCATTCACACACTAACTTATTTAGAGACACTAACTGGCCTCCCCTCTTTCACCTGTGCTCTCTGAAGCCATCCCCAGCATAACACATTGCTCCCCTGCTCAAACTTCCATCTTGTTCATGGAAGAACACAGCACTCCACAGGGATCTGAGGCCCTAAGTGCTCTGTCCTTGGAGACCCCCTGACCCCAGCCCAGTTGACACCTCTCTTCTCTAATCTTCATTACTCCATCCTGTCTCCATCCTGTCTCTATCCCTCACCCAAGCCTCAGTGGCCTGTGGTTGTCCCCAAACCCATCTGCCCCAGTGGGTCATGCATGTTCCTATCTATCCTAGAGTTTTCTGTTCTTCTCTTTCTGCTTTGGTAAAGTTTTCTCCCAGGTGTCTGAGCAATATGTCCCCTCACTTCTGCCATGGTCCTTCAACAAATTTATCAAATAGAACTTAACATCCACTCTATAAAACATCAGCCCTCCTCCCCAGACATGTCAATACCTGCTTCCTCCATACCTTACATCCTCCTTCTCCATAAGCCTCTCTAACATCGTACACTTTTCTTTCTGTCATCCGTTATCTGTCTCTCCCTGGCCCTGGGAATGGATGTTCAAGAACTGAATTTTGACTGTTCTATCTGCTGCTGTGTCCTCAGCACCAAACAAGACCTGGCAGTCCGTCTTGTAGTTGCTGAATGACTCGAGCTCAATCCCTCACTGACTTCTACAGAATGGTTGTTCCTGTCACTGCACTAGACAGGAGATGCACAGGAAGAAGACGGCTAGGAGCAGGGCCTGGTAGTGAGTGTTTTTAGTCCCAGCACTCCAGAGACAGAGGCAAGCGGATCTCTGTGAGGACTGAGGCCACCTGGTCTACATATCAAGTTCCAGGCCAGCAGAGACAACAGGGACACATTGAAAGACAACTCTTTCTTTAATATTTGCATTTTTATTAAATTCTTTTTTTTGAAGTTTTGCAAATTTCATACACTATATTTTGATAATTTTAGACTCCCTCCTCTATCTTCACCTCATATAGCCCTGCGCCTAATTTCATGTACTCTGTCATATATATTAAGGCCTGTTGTCAAGTTTGTGTCCCCAGATGTCTTTGCGGTGTGTCCATCCCCTGGAGCCTGGTTGATCTATCTAGTGTCACATCCTTAAAGAAAACTGACTCTCCTTCCAGACAACTGGTCATTTACTCATATGAACTCACAGCAATTGTGACAACATGTGCAAGTCCTATGCAAGCTCAAACCAGGCAAAAAATGGCAGCGTGGACTTGCAAAGTAGGAAAGAAATCCCAACCCAAGGGCTGGAGAGATGGCTCAGCAGTTAAGAGCACTGACCTTGCAGAGGACCCAGGTTCAGTTCCAGGCACCCACACAGTAGCTAACAACTGTCAAAACTCAAGTTCCAGGGGATCCAGCACGCATTTCTTACCCCCATGAGCATTGCACAACACAAGCATACTTACATACATGCAGGCTCATACACATAATAAATAAAATTAAATTTAAAAAAAGAAATCCCAACCCACCCCAACCCAAGGTACTTTTGGCAATTGATGACTGCTAGAAGGATTAAAGACAGAGTCTTACAGGTTTAGGACTCTTGGTGGGCCCAGGGGATGGATCCATGCTGAAGGACTTTGGGGGACACAAATCAGACTGTAACTAGGTAGGGGCAGTTGGGGGGAGTGAGAAGAGGGGAACAACTCTAAATGCCATCAAACTATATTTCATGAGAATTGCAAAAATTCAATTTAAAAAATGCACAAAAAGAAAGAAAGAAAGAAAGAAAAGAAAGAAAGAAAGAAAGAAAAAGAAAGAAAGAAGAAAACCACTTTCCCTTTCCCAGCAGTCCACCTGCGCTTGATCCCTGGACCCACAAGTAAAAGGAAAGAATAGACCACAGAAAGTTGTCCTCTGACTTCCACATGTGCACCATAACACATCCACACCCACATGCACCAAAATTAATTTTTTTAAAAAATTTTAAAACAGAACACAATCTTTGTGGTCATCCACCACCTCTGGCTCTTACAGTCTTTCTGCCCCCTCTTCCACAATCGTCCCTGAGCCTTAGGTGGCAGAACTTTGATACAGGTGTCCTACTCAGCAATAAGCACTCTGCAGTCTCTTATTCTCTGCACTTGGGTCACTTGTGGGTTTGGGGGGGTTAATCATAGTTTCCTTTTAATCCCAAGAGGTGGTATGGCAATTTGTAAGTCCTCTGTGGGCCTGTCACAGTTGAAGCCAGGTTTTTCATTCCTGTTTAGCTCCCCTAGCGTTTAAGTATGACAGATGTGCAAGGAGGCCAACACTTATAACACTGCTGTGTATGGCCTTGGTATCCCAGTGACATACACCCGAGCCTAATTCGTATTCATGCTGTTCTTCTTCCCTTCCAAATTAACTGCGCCTCTGAGCTGTGGATATGTATGCAGTGCTTTCAGCTGTATTGCCATAGGTAATGTGCTGACAGATGAGAGATCCGATATATTTCACTGAAGTTTATGAACCTGTCATGAAATGATACTCTTCTCTCCTGCATTTCATCTCCAAGCAGCAAGTCACTTTAATTCTTTTTCTGTTACTCACTTTCAAGGAAACACCTCTAGCTCTATCATCAATCAGGCAGAAATCAAACCAAGCACAGCACCAAATAAAGCGCTTGGATCTGCTTTTGCCTTCAGTTTCCTCTCATTTCTCATGAAAGCCTCTTGTTACTACACCTTACAGTGGAAACAGAAATCTCCTGCCTTAATTATGACATATTATGACTTATAATGCATTCAAATGTATTTGTACCCATTACCTGTTCATAGCTTATATAGCAGGTGTTCTGGCTTCTGGGTCTTTCTCCATACGCTCAGGCAGAGAATTCATTGACCTTTGCTGCTGATTGAGAGATATGTCTTCTATCAGTTGCTATTTAAACAGCCTTGGTGCTAAAAGAGAAGGGTCAAGGATTAACTCTCTAATCCCTTGGAAAGCTTGAGTCTCTCTGTGTACTACACTATTGTGTATCCATCTCCCAGTTGTGCCTGAAAGTTTGGGCAAGACCATGTTCCTTCGATCTGTCACTGCAAATCCTAGTGCATTGCATAGGCCCTGGGGTACTGGGTTGGCATCCTATGTGTAACTGCAAAGATCTAACTTCACAGCACCTTGCTAGGCTCCTTCACTACTGTGTACTGTGCTGTGCCCCTTTGCCCCGCAGAGCTAAGATACAGTACTGGCCTTCAGGACAGTAGATAATATGTGCAAGAAAATGCAGCACAGTTTATTTTCTTTTATATTCTGTTTCAACTACACTATAATTTTTTTGGTTGTGCTTGCTTTTCTTTCTTGAGACAGGATCTCCTTGTAGCCCCAGCTGGCTTAGAACTCACTATGTAGACCAGGCTGGCCTAGATCTCGCAGAGATCCACCTGCCTCTGCCTTCTAAGTGCTGAAATTAAAGACATGCACCAGCATGCCCAGTCCAGCACTGTAGTTTTTATTCTCTGATCTTTCACCCCCTGTGACCCTGTCTCATCCCTCCCTCCTTCTTTCATTGAAATCCCTCTTTCCAGCAAGTCTCCTGCTACTTTCATGACTTTTTGGTATGTGGGACCCGCTGAGAATTAGGGCTGCTTGTATGAACTTGGGTGGGAGGTTATCTACTGAATCATGGGCTACTGATTGGCTACACCACTGAAGAAAACGACTCCCCTTCCCCCAGCCTCTATTAACTGTCAGTAGTCTCTCAGGGAGAGATGGAACCTCAAGACCCCTTCCTCTTTCCATGATGAAATATTCATGGGCCCAATCTTGTGCAGGCCTTGTGTGTCTAACCACAGCTGCTGTGACCTCATGAGTGTATCAGCTATGTCCTAACCAGGAGACATTGCTTCACAGCACTCCTCCCCACCCTCTGGCTCTTACATTCTTTTGACCCCCTGTTCCTTATTGTTCCTTCCCTAAGCCCTGGGCAGGGTGACATAGACATCATGTTGAAGGCCAACAGCCACTTATTCTCTCTATTTCGACAAGTTGACAACACATTTTTCTTTTTAAAAATGATCTGTCCACATGTCTAGGGCAACCTAAAAAAGGGGAAAGTGAGGAAAGCTGAATGGAGAGGGTAGTTTAGGAAGGTTCCAGAAAGCACATCCTTTGAACTAAGTCATGTAATAGGAAAAGGATTTTGCCTAGTGTATAAGCTGATGCAGGCTGACTAATTAATAAGCCCAGACTGCACGTGCACAGTTGTGGTGCTGCCTATAGTAAGAGTCACCTGCCACTTGACTTTGAAAATTTACCATTCTTTGCAAATGTTTCATTCATGAGGAGTCACGTGGTTTCAGGTTTTATTGATCAAGAATCTATTCGTAATTCCATTTCACCTTTTTAATTTTTGAATTCACATTGCACACTGATAGGAACAGCAAAAGGATTTTCCTTAAAAAAAGAAAACCACATCAAACAAACATCAGTCTTAATAAGTTATAATAAATGCCATTGTAAAAAAATTCCTTTGGTGCATAGAAAATATTAAGGAGGCCTTGACTCCCACAACCTCATTCACCCTCCCAACTCCCCCACCCCGTCTTACTTCCTAGTTTGGGCACTGGCTCATTTCTTCTCTTGGCCCCAGACTTCTGGACTGTCCTCTTGGCCCAGACTCCCCACTGCTTCCTGATCCTTTGCACCTAGACCAACCCAGTTCCTCAGTCTAGTCCCCTGGAACTCTCAAAGCCTGTTTTCTCTTCCACCTTGCCTTTGCATACCTAAGACCAGCCTCCATGCCTGGGTGACCCAGCCCCAACCTAGATTCCTGAAACCAGCCTCCTTCCCTGACTGCCTGAGAGTCCTAAATCCTGCCTCTACCTAGCAAGTCTCCCAAATTGTACTGTGCCTGCTGACTAGAGGGATCCAGACCTTAGGAGAAAGCCTTAGAGCATCTGATCTTCATCTGACTTGGGGCTCTGTGGGAACGCCTGAGCATCAGGACTAAAGCCATCTGGCCCCTCCAATATAAAATCAAAAGAGAGAACCTGAAACTAGACCAACCAGCGTTTCATGCCCAACAAGTAAACCACAAAGGCACATAAAGTTTACAAAAAGAAGCAGATCTAAACTCAACAAAGGAAGGCTTGAGTCTCACACAAGAATCAGAAACTACAAAAGAAAATATTAAGGAATATCTTTGCAATGTCTCTTCAGCACCCTCTACAGACAGAACTTAACCCGTTGCTCCTGTCAAAAAAATAAAATTAAATAATAAATAAATAAATAAAATCTTGCCACAGGAGGTAAAGGTAATGAAGGGTGAAACTGAAATTGATTTTATGTCGAAACTGATGCTGTGAGTCTAAATTTCATTTGGAAATTCAAAAGACCAATAGCCAAAACAACTTTGAAAAGAACAAAGAAGACTAATATCACTTCAAAACTATCATATGCTAATCAAGACAACATGGTATTGGATCAAATAGTCCAAAAAAGCTCAATGAAACAGAATAATGGGTCCAGAACTAGGCCCATACATATATATGGACAACTGTATTTCAACAAAATTTCTAAGGTTATTTGATAGAGAAAAGATAGATCTTCCTCAACAAATGGTATAGAACAAAAGAAAGATCTAGATTTCAAAAAAAAAACTGCTAAAAATGTATCATAAAGACAAACAGCAAAGTAAACGTAAAAAATTCTAGAATAAAATATAGTGATTCTTTTTTTGAACTTGGGTTTGGCAAAGACTTCTTAGATAGGACACCAAAAAAGGTACCTAATCCATACAAGGTAAAATGATGAATTAAAATATTTTGCTCCTCAGAAGTGTTCTTAGGAAAAAGGAGTCACAATCCCCAGACTTGGTGGGAAACTCTGAAAATCAAATACTTGATAAACTATATTTTCCTGAAATGTTTAAAGAAAATCTAAAATTCAGAAGAGGAAAAAAAAAAAAACCTTGATTTAAAAGCTTGGCAAAGAATTTGGAAAGATGTGTCCTTAGAGTAGATAACACATCAGTACATGAAAAGCTCCTAACGGGCCTGCAAGAGGATTTGGAGGGTAAAGGCACTTGTACCAAACTTGGCTATGCAAATTCAGTCCCTGAGACCTATGTGATGAAAGGAAAAAATGAATGTTGCAAGTTGTCTTCCAGCTCCACATACTCCGTGGCACATGTGCATGTACACATACCACACAAATAAATGAATGTAATTTTTTTTAAAAATCTTAAGGACCTTAGACATTCTTAAAAGGCAAGTTAAAATGAGATCTCACTACTCATCAACTGGAATAGCTGAAGTTAAAAAGACAAATTATACCAGTGCTAATGAGGATGTGAACAAACTGAAATGTTCACACAGAGCTGTGTTTTCCATTCTAGAAAAGAGTTGGAAGAGGGAAAGGGAGAGGGAGGGAGGGAGGGAATGGAGGGAGGGAAGGAGGGGAAGGAGGGAGGGAGGGAGGAGAGGGATGAAGGAGGGAAAGAGAGAAAGAGAGAAAGAAAAGGAAGAAAGAGAGTTAAAGAGAGAAAGAGAAAAATAGTTGGGCAGTTTTTAAAGATAAACGTGTACCCAGCGCATGATCCAGTGATCCCTTCCATATACTCACCAAGAAAAACGAGAGCGCACGACCACACAGACACCTGTGCATACACTGATCACACTTTTGTAACAGACAAAGCTAGAAAGGACCTGACGTTCTTCAATGGGTGAATGGATGTTTTGGTGTGATGTATCCATTCAGCACACAGCAGGAAAAACAAGAACTCCTGTGCACACAACCTCATGGACAAAATCCTCTGGGGAGACACGCCAGCCCCCACCCTGAAGCACATCTCTGTTATATGAAATTTTAGAGAGTGAAAAGTAATGTAGAGTGAACACAGCATATTAGTAAGTAGGTGTGGAATGCAAAGTTAGACAAGAGGGATTATGGGAAGACTAAAGAAATGTTCAGGGGCAACAGAAACATTCACCTTGGTTGTTAAATGACTTTACAGTATACTATTGTAAGAAATTTTAAATGATAAATAGCTACAATTTGTCTTCTTTAATTATACCTCCATGAAGCCCTTAAAAGGGATTATTCTTCCTTCCAAGTTATCATCGTGTTTTAACTTCTATGGCTGATTTTAATCATGAAAAGATAGACAAATTAACAGACTAAAGAACTAATTGAGAAGGACAACTAACTTTTGAGTATGAAAAATATACTAATCACATTACTCAAAGAACTAAAATAAGTCCCTGTAAGGTATGATAATGTTGTGCAATTTAATACCTTCAAATATGCAGCCAGAATACAGAAATCAAAGTGAAAAAAAATCACAAGACTGAAGTACCCTTTTTGTGAGACCAACCTGTGTAGACTTTATGCTTTTCTTTTTAATCACACATTCAACAAAACAGCCACTTTGGGGCCAGCAGGGTTTTCAGTGACAAAGTCACTTGCTAACAAGCCTGATGACTGTGATTTGATCCCAGGATCCACAAGGCAGAAGGAGAGATCCAACTCCTGCAAGTTGTCCTCTGACTCCACACGCTCACGGTGACACACAGATGCACTCATGCACACACACTAGAGGAATACATTTTTTAAAGCCACTTTGGCGTTTTTTTTCCTTATTACTACTTCGGTATGGGAGGATATTTTATCTCTCAAGTCCCCTAAAGTTCACACTTCAAGTTCTTGAAGCTACTGCTAATTTTAAAAATAAATTTTATTTTTTATGACTAAGACTTTTAAAACAGTCAGCTCCCATTGAGTTCACAGGAAAGCAAGAAATGATCTGGGCTGGGATGGGAACTATAAGCGTTTGTCTTTAATCATTTTGGAATTTGGCGGTGTCACTCAAATTTTTTCCTCCTGCTTTCCACTCTTTCTTCTCCTGTATTTGGTATTTCAGATGCATCGTTAAGATTACTGGAGAAATGGTGCTGTCCTTTCCTGCTGGCATCACCAGACACTTTGCCAACAACCCATCTCCAGCTGCTCTGACTTTCAGGGTGATAAATTTCAGCAGGTTAGAGCACGTCCTGCCAAATCCCCAACTTCTCTGCTGGTAAATATGATTTTGTATACAATTTTAAAGAGATAAGTGGTTTTACACTTTGTGTCTAGATGTGGAATATACCCTTGCAAGAGTGTCACTGTAGCTAAGACACCACCATGCCAATGTGCATGTAGATTCAGATACCAAGTCTATGTGCTGTCAGCTCTCTGTGGGTGAAGTTGTGTGTGTGTGTGTGTGTGTGTGTGTGTGTGTGTGTGTGTCTGCATACCCAGTTATGTGCTCCACTAGCCAACTTCTAAAGTGGTTAAGGAAGCACTGTGCTGCTGATAATGAATTGCTGCCTGTTTCACTCATTGTTAGTAGACAGTTGATGAAGATGGTATGCAATGAACCCAATAGTAGGAAAATCTTTTCATTGTATTAACATCTTTTTAAATCAAATTATATGGAATAATGGGCTATTTATGGCATTTGAGTTTGAAAAGCTTTCCTGTGAAACAATTTCACTATAACAGTCATGGTTGACATGAATCATATGAAGGAAGCCTGTGTGAATTTTTTTGTGTAAAGGTACACTTTCATATTTCATACCTAAAATTATATCTTTATTGTACGTGCATGCATTTGGTACCCTACAAATGTGCTTGTATTCCTACTGTTGAAATGATCATCTGTGCCAAATACTTGTTTGCAGTGAGTGCAACAAAAGGAGTCATTCTTTTTAAATTTATTTTTATTTTATGTGTATGAGCGTTTTGCCCGCATGTATGTTAAGTGCAGCACGTGTGCAATGCCTGCAAAGGTCAGAAGAGTGCAATGGATCCCCTGGAACTAGAGTTACAGATGCTTGTAAGTCACTATGTGAGTGCTAGGAACCAAACCCAGGTCCTCTGTAAGCACAGCCAGTGTTCTTAACCCTGAGCCATCTCTCCAGCCGCAAGGAGTTACTCTTGACAACTTCCTCCTCATCACAAAGTGTGACTATTCCATCTAAAAGTCTCTCTCTAAAGTGCCCACATTTTCCCTTTCCTGCAACTTGCCTTGAGCAAGTACCATCATCATGTCCCTGGACCATGGCCGTGACAATTGCTTCTTTGCCTGAATCCAATCTTGCCCGCTCCAGTGCATTTTATGAGACTGTATTTTGCTTATAGCACTTTAGTGGCTTCAAGCTACATGTATCCCAGAATCTCAACTTCTTACCATTACCTTTGAGCTCTGAGCATCTACCTAAACCTTTTATTGGAACTCTTGCCCACCAGAAGCAAGCAGAGTCCTGCCTCAGCCGGGGCTTTGCGCCCTCATTTCTTCACTTTGCAGTACAACCCTCTGCTTCTTCAGGTGCCTCCCACGTCCTCTCTGTTCCTTGCTTCCCTCATCATCCCCTGCCCTCACCACCCCCACTGACCAGCCCAAACTGAATAATGATCCCTCGCTGTTCTCCCTGAAGCTCTCTATTCTTTCCATTAATAAGTACATGTCTCTTGTTTCTTCATTCCCCACAGTGTCCCCATGGGTCGGCACAGCCCAGAGGGCATGGGACCCAGCTACTCCTTCACCACAGATGCTTTGTACACACCAAGAAAAGCAGCTGCAGTGTAGATCAGGCGAGTGGTCAGTGAACAGGCTTCTGGGTACCAGCTTCCACAGAGATACCAAGCTGCTTAGAAAGTTAAGACTGCACTCTGTTCTCTGCTGTAACTATCATGACTACCTTATTAAACTCTGGGACCATCTTGTATGTGAAGTGGGTTTTCTTATTTAGCTGCTCTTAGACTCTTCGATGGACTCGTGACTGCTGGAAAAGAGCCTGGTGATGTTACTATCATCCCTCTCAGTTAAGCCAAGTCTCACTCTGTACCACAAGCTGGCCTCAAACTTGTGATGCTCCTGCCTTGGCCTCCTGAATGCTAGTGTTATAGATCTGCACCAACGTATTGAGTTTGGCCAAGTCTTTAAGTGGTTAATTTCTGAAAACTATTAGTCAATCAGTTCAAAGGAAAATCAGCTGCATAAAGTTAATTGCATTAACTTATTCATTTAGATAAAATTAAGGTGATGCAGGAAGGGCTGCTAAGTATGCATAAAGAAATAATTCTCTCTTCAAAGAATGCATTATCATCATTCTGGGTTAATAATACCGGACAGAGACATTCAGCAACAGACACCTCCTCCCTCTGGGAACTGATCTGCTTATGGAATACCATGTAGGACTGCACTGCTCTAAATCAACCTGGGGATGATGTAAAGTACCATTGTCACAGACAGCAATCTAGTAAGGTGCCTCTTGTGCAGTAATGATGGTTATAGGATGTTACTCAATCTTTTCTTTTCCTCTCTTTCCAACTTAATAGTGATAATACACAAAATGATGCCCATTCCAAGGAATTCTGGGTAAACATGCCAAATTTGATGACTCACCTAAAGAAAGTCTCTGAACAAAAACCCCAGGCTACATATTATAATGTGGACATGCTCAAATATCAGGTAAGCCTATTTGTATGGTCAGCATATCCCCTTTCATATTACTAACGTATATTCTAAAGTAACTGGCGTTACCTAAAAGCAAATAAAGCATCGTTTGTTGACTATTATTGAAAATCTATGGTTTTAAGAAATGGGGGCCTTAAATGACCACCTGGGAACTAGTGATGACAAGATTCAGGCAAACTCTCAAACTTAAAGGTGAGCAATTTCACTTAAAAATTATAGAAGTATGCCTCAAAACCGAAGTTATGAAAAAACACATAATTAAGGCCTTTGGTATTAATAAGCTAGATCACTATGATTATTCTAAGAGCATGACTGTTCTCAAACTTTAATCTTAGGTGGTTAAGTGAAACTAACTTGTATTTTTTTTTCTAGTATGGTAGCTCCGTGAAACAGTTCTAATAAAACTGTGCTAGGAACTGTTCAGTGGTGGCTGGGGCTTACGAAATCCTACCTGAGTTGATTTTAGCAGTTGATGGCTGCTGGGGAGAGAGGGTCAGTTTTCTTCAGGGGTATGCCCCCGGTAGGTCACCATGCTCCAGTGGGTGTTTCTATACCTGTCCATGTGTGGGCACTAATTGGACTCAGTGGATTATGACAAAAGAGAAGAGGACATGAAATTCGGAGGGGGACGTGGTCGAAGGGGGCCCCAGGATGGGTTGACGATGGGAGTGAGCAGGATCACAATGTATCATATATATAATATTCTCAAAGAATACATAAATTTTAAAAATATTAATTCCATATTGGAAGACTCCTGACCCAAAGAAATATCATATATGAGAATAACTATAGTTTTTTCATCTAGGATTGTCTTTATACACATTATTACTGATCTAGTAAATAAGTTGATTTCAGATAAAATACTACAGCCCCTGTTGATTCACAGCCACTTGTACTCTTGTCACTTTTAATGCATTTTTGCATTAAGTATGCACATTGAATATGTGCAGATTACTTTTCTTAAGATGATCAGCATATTTAATTGCTGACCACCAATAACATCCCAGAGAAACTGGGACATTCCATCTAGACACTCATCAGTCAGCAGGGAACTTGCAGATAAATGTCTATTCTGAATGTGTGTGTATCTAGGGAAGCATATAGACATGCTTAGAGATGTAACCCCTTTACACCAACAGCCCCAGAGACTTTAGTTAATAGGCTTGGGATATCCAGGTAGGGTTTGTGTGTGTGTGTGTGTGTGTGTGTGTGTGTGTGTGTGTGTGTTCTCCAAGTGATTCTAATGCACCCCATGGCTTGAAAAAACACTTATTTAAATTGTTGTAAAGGAACCACTAGAAATCAACTATCCATCTATGATCTGACATTTATGTTTTTCTATGAGAATAGGTCATCTTTAGACATAGATAATACAGTACTAACAAGCAGGTGATATTATTGCTATCCGGCTGTGTTTTATTGTTTTTCGACTATGTGAGGATACACAATTTTAGTGTTTTGTGCAATTTCCCTCAAACTACAATGTGTTTAATTTCTGACCACTGACCACATCTCACAAAAACCAAGGCACTCAAAGAACAAATTCGTATATGAAAAGGCACAGCCAGGACAGAGGGGCTATTGTTGAAGGAGGAACTACCACTGAGGCCAAAGTACAGAAACTGGGAGAGGAAGCCACTGCTCTGTGTTGGCTTGCTGTAGATTATGGACTTCAAGTTCATCTGCAGAGAGGACTGTAATGTTAACAACATGTAAACGTTAAAGGAATTGCACTAGTTATTGGCTAAAATTGCCATCAAAGGTTATACCTGTTATCCTTTAAAAGAATACATTTCCAGGCATGTTTTTGCAACAACCAAACCTGCCTTGTGAGTTCAGCCCTGTCAAAACCTTTTCCCATGGCATAAGAATATGTAAACATTTCCTAGAGTATCATATATATTTTTCAGCCAAGACTCATGCTCCAAGAATAAAATTTCAGGGGCAAAGACACCACCCACACAGTCCCTGCAGCACACACAGATGTACTGAATACTAGGGACCTGCTCACCATCACAGTGAGCAATGGGGAGATTATAGCTTCAATTCTTTACTATAGACCTGGAATTCAGATTGATATTACTGTCTTAAGAAAGATTTTTGATAATCATTGAAGCCTAGCGTTTTAAGCGTGTTTTAACTAACTCATTATTGATTCTAACATGACTGTGTAGACTGCAGTTCTTCCCGTTAGAGGATCTGGGTTCAAGTCCTTATGTTGGCAGATCTCAAAGTTTAGCTTTGTCTACTTCATTGGTTTGTCATAAAGAGCAGATATTCAGGAATATTAATAGTAAACGTGTACTAAGGCATCAATTCCTCACTACATACTAGACACTATGCTCCATCTCCAGTCTTCCTGACAACCCAACGGGTAATACTATTGTATAAGTGAGAACACAACTGAGGCTGCTTAGTGACTTGCTTCAAGATCAGTTTGTTAAGTGGCAGAATCAGAACTCACAGCCAGGACGGTACAGTTTCATGGTCTCAGCTCCTAACCAATATGCTGTCCTACCTCCCTATCTGGCAGTAAATACACTATGAACTCTGAAGTGCTGTGGGGCTTTCCACGGCTGGACTTAACGAATTTTACTGTAACAGTTACTTCAAGGACCCAGCTCCCCTGCCATGGCACCCGAACTTTGCCTGCTTTCACTGGAATATTGTTTGTGAACAGCACAAACAATATCATGACACTCTGACATGTAAGCCCGTTCCTGTGGGGGATAATCATAGCCTCTGGTTTGATTCTAGAATAACAGTAGAAGCTTACACATTCTCTCTCCTGTTGTTTGGCAAGGTGTCTGCCCAGGGCATTCAGTCCACACCTCTGAACTTGGCAGTGAACTGGCGATGTGAAGCCACGAGCACGGACCTGCGCATAGATTACAAATACAACACGGATGCGATGACTACCGCAGTGGCCCTTAACAACGTGCAGTTCCTGGTCCCCATAGATGGAGGAGTGACTAAGCTCCAGGCCGTGCTTCCCCCAGCTGTCTGGTAACAAGCTGCTGGTGCCCTCCCCACCGCCAAAGGGCTTCTTCTGGCTAAGGGACTGCAGACTTTTTAGCCCGTGGGTTTCCTGTGGGAGGAGACTGCAGCAGGCCTGTGGAAGGACCTGGGGCAGAAACAGAAATATACAGCAGCTCTGCCAAATAGAAAAAACTTGAACCCAGGGAGTCCAATGCTTAGCCAATGGTGGAAGCACCAGAGGAGCCAGCTATGGGCTGCACCTCTGAGAGCATTCTTGCCAGAGCACTGCAGACTGGCCCATGCAGGACATTGGAGCTGGAGAGGAGCTGGCCACCCCCTGGGATCAAGCCAGTTTGACTCCTGTCAGTGCAATGCCAGGATCAGAAAGCTCCTGCTGGCATCTCCTTAACCCCTTCTCAACACCTGGAAACTGGGGGCCAGACTGGACCCCTGTGTTTGAAGCAATTAGCTAATTGCTGGCCAGAGAAACAGCAAGAAAGCTCAGAACCAAACTGCAGCCTCATTTGCAAGCAGGACCCTAACCATAGGAGAGTCTCAGGGTACAGTGTTCATTTAGGCTGCTCGACTGTCAAAAGGCCTGCTGGGCAGAGGAGGAGCCTAGAAACCGAGTGAATCCTGAGTGCCAAAGTCATCTGTTCTAGAAAAAAAAAAACTGTTTTCCCACATGAATGCCAACAAAAACTAGAATATTTCTTTAAAATGAATGTCAGCCAGCAAACAACTGCTGTTTAAATTATTTAAATTAATTGATCAACAAATATTTTTCATCTATTTTCCCAGTAGATGTGTTTACATTTTTCACTAGGTTCTGTATTGCCTTCTAAACATTTATCTCACATCGCTGGGACTAGTTAGAATAAGGACAGGGACAGGGGAATTTATGGGTATACGGGCCCATAGGTAGGCAGAACTAAAACTAACACTACCTGGAAATGTGGCTTTTATTGAGTGAAAGCTCTTTATCTTGTTTTTAGGAATGCTGAACAACAAAGAATATTGTGGAAAATTCCTGATATCTCCCAGAAGTCAGAGAACGGAGGTAACAGAACCACAAGCTTATTTTATTTGGCATGGAAAGTTGAAATAACGTACAGATACCTGCCAGCTATGAACACGAAGTCACATGGCACTAGAAACAAACAAAGTTTCATTTATGTCTGCATTTACTTACTTCCATCAATAAAAGCAAAACGTTCTTCGGCAGATCTTTTCTCCTTTCCCCACCAAGACCTCTCTCTCACAGACCATCCTTGCAGATAGAGGCCATGTCCATTCTGTGTCGGGCACCCTGTAGATGTTTTTTCCATTTCCCTCCAGTGTTACTTGTGAGTTGGGAAGGATGTGGCCTACCAGGCATCACACCTAAAATTTTGAAGTACCATTTTGCTGGATTACATTTTTACCAGTTGCTCACAGTACATTTCAGTCTCTCAGTCTTCAACGATATTCTTTCATGGTCACTTTGTCACTGAGACATATACAATTTCCTAACCTTGTCCAATTTTGCACATTAAATCTCAAATACAGTTTCAAAATTAGGTGCATAACACTGTGTTGATTGCTCTTTTGTAACAATACTCTTCTTTTAAAGGTGTGGGTTCTTTACTGGCGAGGTTTCAGCTATCCGAAGGCCCAAGCAAACCTTCCCCTTTGGTTGTACAGTTCACAAGTGAGGGAAGCACTCTTTCTGGCTGCGACATTGAACTTGTTGGAGCAGGGTATCGGTTTTCACTCATCAAGAAGAGGTTTGCTGCAGGTAAATGGGTAGCTTCAGTTCCATTAGCCAAAATCAGGTTGCCCAAATCACCCTTCCCCCAGCAGAAAAGTAGGATGTGATTTTCTCATCATCTCCTACTTCCTTACTTCCATCCCCCAGTCCAATCAGAAAGCAAAGCAATCACAGAATGAAGTACAAATGAACAGGACTTCCTGTTGAGAAAGCACTGGCTGCTTACCCTGGACTGTTCTTTTTCTCATGTTGGGCCAACAGTCCAGTCATTCCCACAATATAGATCTTTGCATTGATGTCCATGGGGTAAATCCTGCTGCTGTTATGTTACCGAATAAGAAAAACTCACTTGTGTTTGAATTTATCTACCACTTTTTTTTTTTTTTTTTTTATTTTTTTGAGGGAGGTCCCCCCTGTACCCCCAGCTGTCCTAGAACTCTCTATGTAGACCAGGCTGGCCTTGAATTCACAGAGATCCACCTGCCTCTGCCTCCCAAGTGCTGGGATTAAAGGCATGCGCCACCATGCCTGGCACTACTTTTTTAAACAGGAAGGAGAACATAAAAATTTGTGATAGCCGGGCTTGGTGGCGCACGCCTGTAGTCCCAGCACTTGGGAGGCAGAGGCAGGTGGATCTCTGTGAATTCAAGGCCAGCCTGGTCTACATAGAGAGTTCTAGGACAGCTGGGGCTACAGGGAGACCCTCCTTCAAAAAGATAAAAAAGAAAAAAAAAATTGTGACAAGCCTGAGGTATGGGAAACTTGATTCCTTGAGAAGTTTTAGTACTCCAACCAGACTTCCTAGATTTTAGATTTGTCAGGCTAAGCTGAGATCTAGGAATACCTATATTTTACCATAATAACCTTTTAAAAGAATCTATTGCCAGATGGCTTAGCAGGTAAAGGTACCTGCCAAGCCAAGCCTCGTAGCCTAAGTTTGAGCCTCAGAAACAACATAAAGGTAGTCATCTGGCCTCCACACATGTGCTGTGGCATATAAGCACCCACATACAATCACATACACACATACAATAATAATAATTGTGTGTGTGTGTGTATGTGTGTGTGTGTTTGTAGTTTGGGGCCAGCACAATGACTCAAAGGTAAAGGTGCTTGCCGCTAAGCCTCTTAGGTTGTCCTCCATCTCCACATCCACACCATGGCATGTGTATGCTTAGATAGATAGATAGATAGATAGATAGATAGATAGATGATAGATAGAGACAGAAATAGAGATGATATAGATATAGATAAATTCACACACAAAAATAAATAAATATAATTTTTTAAAAGCCTAGTTCAGGGCTGGAGAGACCGCTCAGTTAGTTAAGAGCACTTGCTGCTCTTGTGGAGGACCTGGGTTCAGTTTCCAGCACCCACAAGGTAGCTAACAATGTGGAGTCTGTAACTCTAGTTCCAAGGGATCCAATGCACTCTGTAGGCTCCTGCAATCAACTCCATGTACTTGATGTACACTCAAGTGCACACATATAATTAATAAATAAATAAATAATTTTTAAGGTGTCTAGTCTACAGATAAGAACAGTTTGCCCGGGAACTAAGTATGGTATAGACAACAGACCTTTTATGGAGGTGGGGAAGGCCTCAGTAGTAAGGCAATCACAGTTATACTTGTCAGTGGCTTGTTGGGGTAAACCCAGGGCTTGGCCTACTCTAAACAAGCACAGTACATTCAGCTATACCTTCCATTCCTAAGCCCTAACTTTTATGCTTGTTGTTCTGATATAATTACTGATTATCTCCCTTCACCCTCTAAAACATGTACTAGGTTGGAAAAATTATATTAGTATTTTTCAGATATGCAGGAACAAATACCCCAGTCTATCTGGGCAGAACCCAAAAGTTCTGCAAACTGTCTGTGGAAGTAGGCAAGGCCACTAGAGAAAGCATCACACCCCAAGTGTGCAAAGCTGGGTTCCCAGGGGTGGGGCAGGAAGAATAGAGCCCATAGTATGATCACATTATTGAACTAGTAGATAACCTACAGACATGCTTTTTTGGTCTTTTGTTTTTTACAGGAAAATACTTGGCAGATAACTAATAAAATCTTGTGCAAGGATTTAGAAGATTCGTGCACTGGAGAACTGTTGTTTGAGAAACAGGTTTTAATTCTGGTTTGATCAAAACAAACCAGTGTCTGCACTTGGGATCTATCAGCTGAAGTTCTGTTGCTTTCAGCAGTGATTTCCCACATACAGTACCATGATGATTGGTCCCATAGTATTTACTTCTAGGTGTAATATTGTTAATGGTTTTAAAATGTAATTATTGTATTTGTAAATTGTACCTTCATTCCGGTAAGGCAGTAAGACACTTGAGTTTTAGCATTTTTCATTCCTGAAATGGATGTAATTTAAACTGTGGTATGTAAATTTAATAGTAGTACTGTTGAATGGCACAATGCTTACAGAGATAGATTGCATTTTGTCAATATATAAAATTTAAATATAATATTGATAGTTGTCATAAAGGGGGCGCCACACACAAAGAAACTTGGATGGAACCAGAAGAAAAAGCAACTTAGTTTTCTTCAGTCCCTTAGTATATTTTACTCTAGTGCTAAATAACACTTCTATCTTCAGTTTAATGGGTTAAATTCAGAAACTATTTCAAAAAAATTCTAAGGTTACAGCACATTCAAAAAGAAGCATTACCACTTTTTAAAAAGCTTTTTTTTCAAACTGCAAATTTCATAAAAAATGCGAACTGTGTAAACAGGGCCTCTTATTTTTATAACTTGTGTAAAAAGGAAAAGTGATTCATATTTAAAGTTCAAGTATATTAAATTATATTCAAGAGTAAAGAGGATGTTGAAATCTTACTTAGTTCCCCCTTTCTCCACAGTTTAGCATATATGGAGATTGCTGAATAATCAGACTAGAGCCAAAATTATGATTTTTAAAGTTTCAAGACTTTCTGTAGCTGAACTGGTTTGAAACTTTTGCACAATTGACCTGATGGGAGGGGGCAGGAGGTCTGTCTCATCCTGCAGGGAGGGGTGAAACCTCCTTTATCCACAAGAATCAAAACATTAAGAATAAGAACTTTAGGGGGGAATTTTTAATTCCCTGTTTAAATCCAAAAGGAGAATTTTTAAATCATGTATATCTTTGGGGAAGGAAGAAATAAGCTTTATAAATTAAGTTCTATTCACTTTGTTGTCCAATAACTGTCTTTTTGGATGGATTCATTGTATAAAACTGTGGATCTTCACCATCTTGGAGAGTGGAGAACAGAGCAGGGAAGTGGGATAAAGTTCAGTGAATGCTATAGTTTCAGGTCTGCCCAGCAGGACTGAATCAAAGCAGTCTCATGTCCCCCACTGAAGTCTAAAAACATAAGTCTTCCAGTAAGTCATTTTAAACATAGAACAACTCTTATTCTAAGCTATCCTATCAAATAACTGAAATTGAGTTACAGTGCGTATCATTAGTTGCTAAATTCCATTTTCTTGTCACTCTAATTGACAAGAATCTTTAACTCCTTTAAATTTTAGATTAAATGTCTTAAGTCTTACCTTTAAAATGAGGTTGTGACTGGCAATTGTTTCTAGTGGAACTTTTTACATTAGTCTTTGTACTCTTCAAGCAAATGATTGTTACCCCAAAAAGAAAAATGTACAGCACGACCTATTTTGCCTTGGAAGAATTCCCGCTAAAACAGGCTCTAGCCTACCTCCCCAAAGTGCCCTGGTGGTGAAGTTTTTTTGAACAAACTAATTAATTTGTTCATGTTAGGTTTGGTTTTGAAACCGAGTAGAGAAATGTAAATTTTTAAATCTCATAAAATGGGAAAATTTAAAACATTCAGACCGATGGAGAATAAGAAGATGGGGACTCACCTAGCACATGATGTGACTTATCCAGCATATGAACCTAAAATGTTTTTAAGTAATCAGTTCATGGAAAAACATTGAATATTAACACAAAACATTAAAATATGTAAATATTGCTGGTTCTCATGTATTTCTCTTTATATATATTTTATATAGATTTAGAATGAATTAGTAAATACAGTTTTTCTTCTGAAAGAATAATTTTGCTGATACTGTAGAAATGTATTTAACAGTAGAGATTTCAATAGTCTCTAACATTATTCACATGTCTCCAAGAACTAAATTTGAAACTATGAAGAAAGTCTATGATACCCTACTTGATCCTTGTGAAATGGAACAGAGTCTGTGATTTCAAAATTAAATCTTGAATAATCAGAACTTCAATGGGATGCATCCCTTCTTGTTCAGAAAATAGGTCAAATAACACCATAAGCTCTAGTCAAGGACAGAGATTTCAGTGTTTTGTAAGAATTCATGTTTCAACAATGCAAGGGTCTCAGTTATCAAAGACTATCAAGTCAGGTTCGCTATCAAGTTCTCTTTATCCAAACAGAAAGGGTTGGTTCGTAGTCAGTTCACAGTGCAATGGGTTAAAATAAGATTAAGCTCTGGTTCACCAGAACTGGTTTCCTAAATGCTGTGATTTCAAAAGCTCTGCTTCATCTAGATAGACAGGATAAATCATATTGTTTTATTTTGGCAACATGGAAAGTATGTTTTCCTCTTCAAATCCCATATTTTTATAAAATTTTAAAGACAAATTCTTGTTAGTAGTTAGTCTGAGTTTTATCATAATTGGAACTTACAATTATCAGTAATTAAATTTTTAATCCTTTAAAGCTTGATGTGATATATCTACAACTAAAAATGAAAATTCCCTGGGTGTTATTCGGGACACATTTTACCTCTGAAAGAAGACTAATGGTTTTGAGTGACTAGAAAGTCAAAGTGCAAATGTCGATCTTTTTGAAATTTTTATGTGCTTTTCCTCAGTCTCAGTTTGCGAGGTGTCAGAGTCATGATTCCTCGTGTTTCCATTTTCAAAGCAGCAGATAACTACATTTGCTCCCCGCTCCACCTGCTGTATGACCTCAGATGACTCTCTGCCCTTTTCCCATCTTAGGGTTACGGTCGGATCCATAGGGAGTCTCCAAGTTTTTCTTAACAATGAGACTTTCCTTCTTCCTAGATTTGTGCCTAGAATTCTGTTAAGTAGAACATTGCCAATCAGTGAAAGAGCCTCTCCAGCAGTTTAAATATAATTCCACTTCACCCAAATAAACTGCCTTTTAAGACCATGTGCAATCATAGTAATTAGCTGATACACAATAAACTGTATACTCGAGTGCTTATCATCGGTAAGTCACTACAGATATTACCTCATTCAACCCTTATAAAACTCCCCCAAATGATAAGGATGCTCTTGAGTTCCTGTCTTACTGATGGTGGTATTGAGGCTTAGGCAGATTAATTCCCCCAGAGAGACACCACAGCTAACAGTGACAGCAGAGTGAGGACCTGTTGTTGCACTTTTCCATACTGGGGAAAGAATTTGTTTTATCTTATTATGCACATCCTATTTGAATGGCAAGGTGAAAGGCACTGAAAGGATTAAGCATGAGCCTGATTAAATGGTTTTGGTTTGGTTTGGTTTGGTTTTGGGGAGGGGTTGTTTTTGTTTGAGACAGGGTCTCCTTGTAGCCCCAGCTGATCTGGAACTCACTGTATAGATCAGGCTGGCCTCCATCTCATAGAGATCCACCTGACTCTGCCTCTGGAGTGCCAGAATTAAACGTGTTCACCACCACACCCAGCCCAGAAAATGTTATTTTAGAAGAATCAGTATTTCTCAAAGGATGATATACGGGACCATTTGTAGCCAAATATTAGTAGGGCAGTAATTTGAAATGAGTCACCACTATAACATAGCACCTAGACTGTAGTGGGTACCAGCAAGTCTTTATTAAATTAATAAACTTCTAGGAATGGAATTTTGGAATATGTAAATTGCTAAGCACCCAAAAGCTAAACTTCATTGCCCTCAGGTCCTTTTTAGTTCTCACATTATAACAGATTTAAGTATTAAAGATAAATACCATTCCCTCCCAATTCAGTCTATTTAATAAAATCTCCTCACTTTAAGGATCACCCATACCCCAGCCTGTGAGCTTACTTTATTTTATAGACTCTTGACTTTATAAGCAGAGATGAACCTTATTCCAAAAGAATTGTACCAATTATTGTTACTCTTTGCCTTTTTTCAAAATCATTACAGGTAGTCAGTGAAAGTCAATTATATAATACAATATGCAGATACCTACCAGATACCTAGTCTGTGTATGTCTGTGTTTAAACTTTCTCTTCCCCCAAAAAGGATGCATTTGAGCAAAATCCTAGTCTGTGAAAATGTACACATTTTGACACATAATTTTCTGATGAGCAATTTCTAAAAACTGAAAGCAAGAGTTTTAGAAATATTGAAATAGGGATGGCCTCTAAATATAGCTTAGAAAGTTAATGTAAGGAGATACGATGCTTCATGAAATTAAACCAGTGAGTCAGGTTGTTCATACAGATGAACAAATTAATTCAGCTTATAGAGGGACTGTGCTAATGACCTACCCCACCAGGCTTACTATGCGCTCTTATCTCTTGGGATTTGTTGTGTTTCCCCTGCCCCTCTAGGCTGTTATCTTGTGTTGGTTTGTTTTGTTTTGTTCATTTGGGAAACAGTGTATAAAGCCATCCATGCATTTAAGAACTGATCATGACTACTGTTACATTCCTTTTTATCCATAGAGTGATGAGGGGAAATGAGACAGGAGTGCACTGCTACATCTCAAGTATTAAAAACAAACAACGCGGTTTCCTTTCCCTGAGGCTGTCGTCTTCAGCAGGCCAGAGTTCCGTTGTTAATATCTGACAGAAATAAAGTCTCCCTCTTGAAGGACTGTCATGTTTTAGGATCAGTTGAGATACCTGGGGAAATGCCAGCTTTGGTCCCCATGTTTCCTATGTGCTTTCTGTCCTGAAATGGGTAGTACTACAAGAAAAAACACCACTTTGTTATTCATCGTGGATATATTTATTTTGCAGATTTAACTTCTAAAGTTAGTTTTCCTTTGCTGTATAGTACTTCTGATTTCTTCACTCCATCCCTAGAGTATACGGCCTGTGCTAAATACATCTTTAGCCTTGAAAGAAAGATATTTAAAAACAAAGCAAATATAGTTTTCAATGTTCCTTAATGTTCTTTTAAAGAAAAGAAGTGCAGTATATTTGAACTGCATTCAACAATATTTCAAAACTTTCCAAAACATGTTTCATTTACTAGCACAGGCAAGCAGTTACTGTGTTCTGAACACACATGGCCCTGTGTAGTAGTCCTCACTCTAGATGTCGGGCAATAACTGTTACTGTCTTCATGAAAAAGAATGTTACTAGATCAGGAAAAGTTTGTGGTTGCTGTTGTTGTTGTTTCTAAGCATACCTTGAAACCCTTTGGGAAAATGTCCTCTGATACCAATTTACACATCCTTCAGTAACAGAAAATAATATACTAAGGAAAGCTTTCTCAAGCTGCTTTTCAGATTCTGTTTTAATTTTAAGGAACTTCCTGCCATTTGAAATGAATCACTACCTATGTTCACTAGTATCTTTCAATGAATTTTAACTTTATTGTCTAAAGAACTCATAACATGAAATTTTTTTAGTTTTTAAAGTATTATCTCTAAGACCTGGACCCATGACATCACATTAAGGCCCTGTTGTTGAAGATATTCCAGATTCCTGGAGTAATTAACACTAACAAAGAATCTTCAGTGATATTTGACTAAACTTCAAGAAACTGAATCATGACAGAGTGTGGTTGGTAGTATCTTGACATAAGCTTAGGAGTTCTGTGAAAACATTTTAGTTAAAGCTAAAAAGACATTTAACAGAGATGTAGGAGGCTCTACATTCTTTTTAAAGTATTTTTTAATTTACTGTTTTAAAAAATCAATTTTTGCATAAAATCAACACTGCTCCTTTATAAAAATTATCTGTTATGAGAGAGCAATGACATTTACATTCCTCTCAGTATAGTTCAGCCTTTAATCCATTCAGAGTGAATCAGCTGATAGATGCAAGTCATCTGTAATTCTCGTGTTTCATAGAGTGAGTACCGTGCATTTACTAATTCCATTTGACTCACTCAGTGTCTATTTATTGACAACTTTTTTGGCAAAGTGAATGTTAACTGTCATTTACACATCATCACCTTAAGCTATTTTAAATAGTATACCAAATAACTATCAAGGGTCACTGTCCCAAGATCCGAAATCTGACATTTTTCTTATGAGTTGCTAGGATGGCAGTGCTTAAAGCTGCATTGATTTCAAGGGTCATTGTTTAATTATTGCTTTGTTAAATGAGTGTGTGTAAAAGAGACTGGCCAGTCTCTCTCCTTTCCCTCTCCCATTCCTTCCCTCTGTCCCCCTCCCTTTACTTCTTTTCTTAGTCAAAAGGAACCCGAGAATTGCTGCTGAATAGTTTTTCTAGAAAATGTTAAGACTTATGATGATACTGTACCGTTACCCATCAGCAGTAATTTATGGAGATGGTTTGAAACTGTTTGAACACTATTGTGTTTCAAGTAAAAAGAATGCTCATTAGTTTCTCACTTATACAGGGAAAAACCTGTGTAAATCAAATGGTCAATTGGAATTCATTCCCACTAAGTGGCAGTGTAAGCCATTGGTTTTTAGTGTACTTTAACAATAAGAAACTGGGAAAGGAGTCTCAGAGAAATGTTGCTGTTTCTAATCCTGATGAAATCCAGTCAGTGAAGGAGCTGCCTGTCGGTGCGCACTTTGACCTGGTAGTGGCCTTTATTTAGAATTCTCTGTGATTGGTGTAGCAGAAGTACACTGAATTTCTTTATAATCTTGTACTGAGTATGTAATTGCACAAAATATCTTGGGCATAAAATATTTACAAAAGAAACTGTGGATTTAAATACTCAAGCTATATTTTAAATTTAGTCTCAGTGTTGATGCTCACCTTTTTTCTGACCTGCTCAGCCAAGTGTTCTCTGGTCACCCTTACTGCCTAGACTATGACAAAGCTTCACTGCTTCCTGTGTGCTTAGGGAAGCCCAGCAAAGCAGGGAAGGCTTTGTACCCTCACCGAACTACGCAAGCTCTCTGCTGGACAAGGGTGACAAAGTGGATGGACAATTAAAGATAACGATCATGAGACCATCTTAATGTTACTTACCTTATGAGTTAGTAAAAGTGTGGGTATCACTTTTTGTAACTGATGATTTTTATAAATGTTCTTTCCTTCATAATTCTCCCAGTCACCCATTCAAAAAATCTTGAATATGCAATTATCATTATGATGCATTACTGCAAATAAGTTTCCCATTTCAGAATAAAGTCTAATGTGAGTACGTTGTTATTGAAATGTGATTTTTTTTCTGGAAAATAAATGAAAAATACGAAAATAAATTTACTTGTAAACCTCTTTTATTTCCAACATCTTGAAATTTTATGCATATTTCTGGAAAACATTGTGTATTTAGCGAAAGGTCTGGCAACAGTCTAGGGCTTTCAAGGGGGATGGATTTCAATTCCACGATTTAACTGTAGATCTGTGCATGTTACTTAACAGTTCTCCATATCCTTATCTTTCAAAAAACAAAACATAAACGGAATAGCATGATCCCTGGGTCATCGGGTCTGTGAGCAGACTAAATGAGATAACAGTTATTGGTCACTTCGTAGATCTACCTAGTTGGTGGTGGTCAATGAACAATTCTTGCCAGCTCTTACCTTTGTGTGAATAGGAACTGGAGTGGGTCAGAAAGTCTGAGTACCCTCCCCACACTACCGGGACCCCAAGCTAATTACCGTCCTGGCTCAGGATGACTCTGCTCTGAACTGTGTGCCTGGGGCATATCTAATCTCTTTATTCAAGGCATGCCCACTACTCAGGAAGGATAGAGGGGGCTCTCAATCCCAAACACCCTCCACTCCAAAGCTCCTTAACCCCCCACAACCATTCCCCAAGAGTCCGCTGGGGCAGTGAAGGCTCCAAGTCCCTTCTGTAATAGGAGGGCTTAACATCTGGAGCACCGAGGCGCTGCAGGAGCACCATTTAACATCACAGTTCTCGGGAATGTTTGTTTTCTTTGTTTTTGCTGCCTCTGTAAAAGAAGCAGTCTTTTCGTGACAGTTGTTGGGACAAGGGAATCAACCTGAACCGTAGCACCGTATCTGGCAGATCCTAGCTCTCTGTCTCCATCACTAGCCTGGTGCCCGGTGGGGACAGCAGCTTAAAGAGAAAAGCTGTTTTCGCTGTGATCTTTTGTTTGGGGGTTGAGGTGTTTGCTTGCTTGCTTGGTTTTTCTGTCTTTATGCCTAGGATGTGCAGTCCTGGGAAACCTCTGCGTTTCCCGCTCCCGCCCCTCACATCCGCAGGGAAGACCTGATGAGCGGTCCCCTGCCTGCGGCTTCACAGGTAGATAAATGCAACCCAGAAGGCGGCCAGGCTGGGGGACGCTCCCAGGGACCCTGACCCTGGGGTGCCTAGCCTCCTAGAGCGGTTCAAAGGCCCACCGCCCTCGAGTCCACTGGGTGGCAGGGCGATGTTTGAGGAGGTCGCCCTGGAGACAGCCTGGGAGCGGGGAGGTGGGGTGCACGGCCGGGCGGCGGAGGGAGTCGGGAGGCAGGGGCCGGGCGTCCGCAGCGCCGGGAGGACCAGCCCCAGGTCGGGGTGGCCCAGGACAGATCCGCCAGCCACTCCGCCAGAAACAGGTACGTTCCCTGGCTCCCACGGTCTTGAAGCCCAAGGATCCAGGGAAGGAGCTGGGGAGGGAGCGGCCTATGTGGAAAAAAGGCGATCTCGGCGCCCCGCTGCCCCAGTCCTCCTTCCCTCCAGAAACCCAGAAAAGGTGGTCCTAAGTTTTGGAACTGGAAATGGATCCTAGCTTCTGACCCCCGGTTCGCCCGTGGTGCTCAACTCCGACCTGGTCGGCATAGTCACCTTGGCGAACCTAGGCACCGCTTGCCCCGGCCCCTCGGTGGCCAGCTGCACTCCTGGGGACCTCCGGGGTCCATCTGGTGCCTCTAGGGAAGGCTTGCCTGCAAGCAAGCAGGAGCCAGCCAACTCTTAGAAACTGGCACACGCACACGCACACATGGGAGGCACCCTCATGTTTAGAAGGGGCGTTCTGTGTTCTTCTGGGAGGAAAGAATTTAGTCACAGTTTAAGCAGAGGTTTAGTGAACAAAAGAAAGCAAAGAAAGACGGGCCGCGGAAAGGGTGGGAGCAAGGTGGTGGGTTCTGTGTTGTGGAATTTAAGGAAGATTTATGAGTATTTATGGGCTGGGTGGCATATTCATGGAGTAAGGTGACCTCTTTTCCCTAAACTATAGTGAACCCGCGCTCTTTTTTAAGGCATTTCTTGCCATGATCCTCTAGGAGAGCGCAGGAGGAGGGTCCCAACCACAACGTAACCAAGCCAGGGAGTACGTTCCCTAAACTATAGTGAACCCGCGCTCTTTTTTAAGGCATTTCTTGCCATGATACTCTAGGAGAGCGCAGGAGGAGGGTCACAACCACAACGTAACCAAGCCAGGGAGTACGTTCCAGGGAGTACGTTCAGTGCGTTCTCCATTAGTGTGCATGTGTAGGAAGGTGCCCTGACTTCGTTTTTGATGTTGGGGAGAACCAACCAACACACAGCTGCAGCTGTGTTGGTTAAGGCTCATCGAATTCCTTTTGAGACTGTCTTAGGTTTACATGATTGATCTCACAGGTTCTATGAGTTAAGACCTTTGTGTGTGTGTGTGTGTGCGTGTGTGTGTGTCTGTGTGTCTCTGTGTGTGTGTGTGTGGTGTCGGTGGGTAGGTTTTGTTTTGTTTGTTTGTTTGTTTGTTTGGTTTGTTTGTTTGTTTTTTGTTCTTTTTGAGACAGGGTCTCCCTGTAACCCCAGGTGTCCTGGAACTCACTATGTAGACCAGGCTGACGTCGAACTCTCAGAGATCCTCTTGCCTGTCTCCCGAGTGTTGGGATTAAAGACTGTGTCATCATGCTAGCTAAGATCATTTGTTTCATTTAACTGAGGTTTTAAATTGAAGGATGGAGCTGAGGATTTACCACGCAGAGATCCTCTTGCCTGTCTCCCGAGTGTTGGGATTAAAGACTGTGTCATCGGGCTAGCTAAGATCATTTGTTTTATTTAACTGAGGTTTTAAATTGAAGGATGGAGCTGAGGATTTACCACAGATTGCCAGACAGAACAAATGAGAAACAGGACTCAGCTCTCTGTAGATCTCTGCTTCCCCAGCTCCATCTCCCTTGTTTGTCTTCTACTTAACCCAAGCACACACCCTGGCACTATACTGCCTCCCTCTCCCGCATACTGTTTCTCTGCCAGGCCTGCCTGTGGTGGCCTGCCCCTCACATTGTTAAGTTGGAGGACAAGCACCTGTCTGCTCTTCCTACTCACCCTCCAGCCCATTGGCCAGCACTCTGGATTCTATTTCTGTTTTACTGTCTAGCCCCAGTTTCTTTGTGAGGAGTTAAAAAAAAAAACACCCTAACCCACACAGCCTGGTCTGTACAGCCAGTTCCAGGGTAGTCAGGGCTACATAGTGAGATCCCATGTCAAAAACCAAAACAAAACAAAAAAGTTCAGGCTGGCCACACTCCACGGTGCTCACCTGTGATCTTGGGAGGCAGAAGGTAGGAATCACCTCAAGTTGAAGGCCGCTATGGGCTACAAAGCCCAGACTACTTCAAACAAACAAATAAACAATAAATAAATAAATTCTGTCCTGTTTGCCATTTACAAAGTAAATCACTGTTGCTCAGGGAAGGGAGTTATTCAGTGAAAATAGTTTGATTTAATAATCATATCTTCAGTGAAAATAGTTTGTTGATTTAATAATCACATTGGGGTACTTTTGTCATGTGATTTAATAATCACATTTGGGTACTTTTGTCATGCTGAGCAGGAACTCAGCACTTGAGCAAGGTAGACAAGCACAGTGTCAAAGAACTATATTCCGAGACCCTAATTTTAGTTTTGAAAGTAACAGCCACAACAGCAAATATTAACAAATTTTTATCAAGATTAGCCATGGAATGGCAATTGAAACATTGGTTTTGGGGGTGCGATAGCATCTCTCTCCTACACATGACTGTCATTTCTCAATAACTTTCTCCCTCTTTATCAGTTAAGAGTTTTTCTACTTCTGCTTGTGTGAATTGGGCATACTACTGCATAAGTAAAGATTTTCATGATTATATTGTCATTTCTCAATAACTTTCTCCCTCTTTATCAGTTAAGAGTTTTTCTACAATTATTATCTGCTTGTGTGAATTGGGCATACTACTGTGTAAGTAAAGATTTTCATGATTATCCTATTTCTAATTGTTCTGACACAAATAACAACATACCATGTGCTGCTCCTTTGGAAACCTCATTCCCCATTCAAAAGGGATGGAAAGACAAGCTCAGCTACAGAAACAAAAAGATTTTCAGATATTTTTAAGTATTTTATTATTGAGAGAGAGAGAGAATTGCCTGCATGTATCCGTGTCTTGCAATACCCATGGAGGTCAGAAGAGGGCATCAGAGTCCCCTGGAGCTGGAGTTATGGGGTGCTAGGAATCGAACCTGGGTTTTCTGCAAGAGCAGTGTTCTTAACCACTGAGCCATCTCTCCAGTCCCTCGGATTTTTTCTTCTGCTGTTTTGCAAAATTCTTTTTTCCTAGAGTCTGTGATGATGTCGGACTTTGCTAAAGATGGAGTGTTTCATGCACTGAAGAAAATGGGGGATGTGACACCCCCAAGTCATGAGTTCCCACGAGGAGGAGCTCATTGGCGTACTAAAGAGTAAGTACCCAGATGTCTAGTGCCTTCAGCTATTGAGCAAATGTTCAGCAGGAGGAAAAAACATTTCCTAGGAATATAAGAATGGGTAAGCACAACATTGCATTGGTCTTTGGGAGCTTTGTTTAAAATATGAGGGAAGGCTTGTACATGATCCTGGGAGCATATTTTATATTTTGAAAACTACCCTTCCCTCCACAAAAAAAAAAAAAAAATCACCTGTACTGCAGCCCAGCTGCTCTTACAGGTCTTTTAAATTCTTCTCGATATTATAAAGCTACATAGTTTATATACTTTGAAATGATATATGCATGTACAGTACATTACTTAATACAAAATTTGTGCTACATTTTCAGTCTGTTCATATTCTTGTAATTTGGATCAGTTAGTCATTCTTAAATTATTGGGCATTTTCAATTGGTTTCCTTTTTTTTTTTTTTCCCTGCTGTATAATAACTCTCCAGTTCTAAACAGCATAGTTAATGAGTCAAAGGATAATAAATTCTTGGGAGCACTAAGGCTCTTGCTACATGCATTTGCTTTCCTAAAGAGATTAATCTATTTTAATATTTTCGTGCTTTCCATTTTGACCCTTACTGGTAAGGACATAAAACGAATGACCTGAGGTCAATCACTTCACACAAAGCACAGGGCTGAAGACCTGAAGGACAGCCCGGGTTAATGCCCCCTGGTGGAAGGCAGAGCTAGTGTGCTTTGCAAAACAGACTGACTGAAATAATCAGACTCGTGAAACCAGAGGGTTTTGTTGTTGTTGTTGTTTGGTCTGTTTGTTTTTGAGACAGGGTCACAGCTAGCCTGGAACTCACTATGTAGACCAGGCTGGCCTCAATTTCACAGAGATTCACCTGCCTTTGCCGCCCAAGTGCTGGAATTAAAGGTGTTCACTACCATGCCTGGTTTGAAACTAGAATCCTTTTATTCCCAGACTGCTATAACATCCACTTCCACTGCCTTACAACTCCATGTTCAGGCCTGGGAGTTTATAGAGTATAAACACAATCTAAACTATATAAAGGAATAGCAATCCCACTTGTCAGAGGTGCTATAGTAATTAGCGCTCTCTCTCTCTCTCTCTCTCTCTCTCTCTCTCTCTCTCTCTCTCTCTCCCTCTCTCTCCCTCTCCCTCTACCCCCCTCCCTTTGGGGGAACTGGTGATTTAATCCACGGCCTCTTGCATGCTAAGTGAGCACTCTACCACGGAGATACACCTTTCAGCCTTTCTTTTGAGACAGAATCACTAAATTGCCTAGGTTGGCCTTGACTTCACCCTGCACCACAAGTAGACCTTAAACTCTGTCCTCCTGTCTCAGCCACCCAAGTAGCTGGGATTACAGGCCTGTACCACTAAGGCAGCTACAGGCTCTTTTTAAATTACTTTAAAATAATAGTTCACTGACAGAGGGCCTGGGTTCAGTTCCCAGCACCCACATGGCAACTAACAACTATTTGTAACTCTAGTTCCAGGGAATCTGACACCCTCTTCTGTCTTCTGCGGGCATTGCATAATACAGGTGCAATTACATACATGCAGGCAATACACTCATACACATAAAATAAAAATAATAAAATATTTAAAAAATATTAGTTCACTTAAATTCATCTTACAAGTAAGAATCTGCTATAATGTCACCCATGGTTTTTCAAGTGTCCTCCTTCAAAGACTCAACTAACATCACTCTTGTAACTTTCATTGCTTCCAAACCAAATTAGAAAGTCATATAAAACCAGAGCTTGATCAAGCTTAAAGAACTATTTCAGTTTTTGTTTTGTTTTGTTTACATTTCTTTATTGGGGGTGAAACCATGTACCATGGCTTGTGTGTTATAGTCAAGGGACAGCTTTTGGGAGCTGATTCTCTCTTTCTACCACATGTGTTTTATGGACTGAGCTCGGGGATTAGTGAGTACCCTTACTTGTTGTGTCATCTTATAGCTCTAGCTTGTGCTTTCAAACCTTGATTCAGGTGGTATAGGAAAAGTTCCCTCACTCCTTCATGATATGAATCATCAACTGGTAGAAAAATTCTGAAGCTTAGTGACTATCACATGGAGGCATCTTTTTTATTGAATATTTTGTGTTTTTCATACAGAACATCTGAAACAATCTTAATCATGTTTATTCTCCCATCCCCACTGGCATCCTCCCACAGCTGCCCATATACTCTGTCATCCCTGTTACTTGTCCACTGTGTTGTCAGTGGCCCCAGCTGTTCCCCAGTGCAAGTCCATCTGCCGAGTCTAGTCAGCCTATCTAGAGTCCCTTGTTTCGGGAAGATCCGTTCTTCTTCATCTAGCAGCAATCAGTTGCCAACATTCCTTTAGATAAGATTGAGGTCTGCTGTTCATTTTCCCAGTTCTATGCTAGGTTTTTGTCTGCCTGAGTTATGCTGACACCACTGCCATCGAATCATATGAGCAGGCTCCCAGGAGCTTGTAGGACTCTTTCCATATGGTTATGCACATCCTCCAGAGCTGTTACAATCTTTCCACCCCCTCTTCCAAGATAGTCCCTGAGTCTTGGGTGGGTGAAGTTTAATAAAGGGGTCCTGTCCAAGGACCATCATTCAGCAGACTCTTGGTCTCTACACTTTGGCTATTTGTGACCTTTTGTGTTCCTGGCACTCTGCTGCATGAGAAGTTTCATTATTGAGAACTGAGAGATTCATTAGTGTCCTCTTCATTATCACTGTTCTATGTTCCATGAGCCTTAGGTATAGAGGGTGCATTGCAGATGTGTCCCTTAGGCCTGGGCAATTCATAGACAATATCCACGTGTGACCATTTGTGGTACTTGGTATTAGTCTCTGACTGCTGCAAAATGAGCTTTTTTGAGGACGGGTGTCTGGGATATTTGTAAGTATAAGGATACATATTTTGCACATAGTAAGAAATCACATTAGTCTAGCAATGTGAGAGTTTGGGGGTTTTCTTTAAGATCTATGACCACTACAGCCATGTGTATTAGATTATGTTACAGTACTACACTTGAGTTTCCTCCCTTTGAGTGGGCTTTTAGTCAAATTAGGTAGCTGTTGATTGCCCCCAAGATAAAAGTGCCACTACTGCACCAATGCCATACACTGTGCTGGCCATTGATGTGGTTATTTGGTCTTGAAGCTGGTACCGGATCATCCACTGATGTGTTTCCCTTGGCACTTTCATAGCGTTCTCCAAAGCTATGAGAGCTCACCTTCAGGGGAAGTGGCTTCTAGGTTAGTTGCAGCTCTGTTTCTCCAAATCCAGTGTTCAACATATGTCCTGCCTTCGGCAGCAGAGTCTTACCTTCAAGTTCTGGGAGACCATCAAGGGCTGTGGCAATAGCCTGAGTAATTTGGGGAGTCTCTTGGACCACTCTAACCAACAACTCAAAGGAAGGTATCTCCTGTCTGACACTGTTTCTTGTTATGTAGCCTTTAACTATAAACATGGACTCATGTAGAGATAATGTATATATAATTTGTCAGTAGGTTGTTGGACTAATATAGTTACCTCTGGTTTTTTGTTTTGTTTTGTTTTGTTTTTTTGGTCTATTTGAGACAGGGTCTCCCTGTAGCCCCAGCTGTCTTGGAACTCACTATGTAGTCCAGGCTGGCCTTGAACTCACAGAGATCCACCTGCCTCTGCCTCCCGAGTGCTGGGATTAAAGGCGCACCACCACGCCTGGCTTCCTCTGTTTTTTTAAAACTAGCTAGGCATTATTTATCTCTCTCACTGTCTAACCCTTCTGCCATGGTTTCCCCATTTAAAGTGCCCCCCATTTTCCCCATTTCTCCCTTGATAATACCCTTCTCCTGTGGTCCCACCTCTCTTGAGCTCCTTCTTTCCCTTTATCCCCAAGATTCCTTGTATAACCATCTGTCCCCTGTCCCATTTAAATAACCCCCTTTTTTTTTTTTTGTCTA